CTTAGCCGGGTAAAAGGCTTTTCCTGAACAAGATACAAATTAAAAACTACCTCTACCATAATGCAAATTTCCTATAAGCTGCTATTTGTCCACTTAGAATGTAAAGGAGAATAGCTATTTTATACTATATACTTCTAATATTTACTGGAGAAATGCATATTTAATATAACAATATAGAGAGTTTTCATGTTTTTATATCTAAGGTGTTTACATTATATCACATGATGCAGAAATGGAGATGGCACCCACAGACTAGGAGATCCATGGCCAACAGTATGCAGCGGTTGTAGTCCCTAGACTGTCCATTTAAGCAAACTGAGACTGGGAGACTAGATTATCATTGATGCAGCAAATAAAGGGACACTCTAAGCGTCAAAACAATTTAAGCTTAATTAAGTAGTTTTGGTGTATAGATCATGCACCTGCAGTGCCTCCTCTCATTTCTCTGCCATTTAGGAATTCAATCACTTTGCTTGTGCAGCTGTTGTCACACCACCCTGGCTGAGACTCACACAGCCTCGCTACACACTTCCTGAAAAAGAGTCTACATTGTGTAACTTCCTTTTTTGCATGTGTTTAATTTAGACTTTCTTATTTCCTACTTTGATAAATGCCTGCTAGACCTAATAGGAGCCTCTTGTGTGTGAGGAAAATTAAATTAGCAGAGCAGAAGATAAGAACTTTTTAAATAAACACACTATGTTCTAAGATCTGATTGAAAATTAAACCATTTTGTTTTCATGCAGGCTGTGTCAGTCACAGCCATGGGAGTTGTGTCCAGGGTTACATAAAGAGAAACGAAAGTCATTTAACTCTTAAAGGTCAAAGCTAAAGTTGTTTTGGTGCTTAGCGTTAGAGTGTCCCTTTAACTAACACATAACTCATGCAGCTTGCTTGGAAGAAATATGAAGATTATTAAATAATTGCTCTTTATCACATATCATGACATGTCATATTTGATCTGCAACCATTCATCAGTTCCCTAATTTCTTCATAGGGAAAACCACCCACACTATTCTCCTCTCACACTGATGCACCTGATAACAATGCTCCATCTTCCAAATTCCCCCTGCTACCTCTTGTCTCAAATCCCGATTTTATCCTTTAGATTGTAAGCTCATGGGATGTCTATCTAAGCACTTTGTATAAAAGAGCTTCAATGGCTAGATCTTAGCTCACGGGCAGGACCTTCCTTACCTTTTGTATTGGTCTGTGCATATTGTATGTTCTACCCTAATTGTACAGTGCTGTGGAATATGTTGGCGCTTTATAAATGCCAGTAATAAAAAATATTGTATTTATGTTTTCATTAAAATAGGGAATTAATATAAAAAGCTATTGAAGAACTAAAATGCCTTTCAGATTCAGCCAACCACTGGATGCAGTTAATTGGAGTTATATTCCATATGCTCTATTCAGGAAGTGGTTGCCTCACTATCCCAATACATCAAATGTATGTTTTAACTCTCAACTCTTTGACAGGAGTTGTAGTCCAGTAAGAACAGGCAAACTTTCACCCTCAATTTAATGTGACATAAATTCCTTACCTAAAAACCCATTCCTTATGTTTATTTTCTCAGACCTCAGCACCTAGGTAGTGTAAAGGTTAAAAAACAGAGATGATGGGGCGTGGCCTGGACATCTACAGCAATGGTCGCAAAGTCCGTGAACCAGAACCTGTACATACCTTCCCTTTTTGGGTCTGGACGGCATCCGGTGGCATGAAGACTAGCGGGAAGAAGCAGACCCGCAACAATTCAGCGGTTGCATCGATCTTCTCGCAGGCGGGCAAAAGCTCTGAGCGGATCCTTGTGGAAGACCCTGAAGAAGAGGCGTCGGATGCCTCCCTGTCATGTTCCGATGACACTGCCCACATTCTCCATCAGATGCGGGTGGATAAGTCTTACCCTGCAGAGGCAATCGCGTTGGGCACCCAAGCCCTGAAGGCTGACATACAGGCTATTGGGGTTCGTACAGCGGAGTTGGAGGCCCTCGTGGAACAGGCCGTGCAGGCTCTCAACAATGTGGATGACACCTGACGATCTCCGCTTCTGGCTGCAGGAGGTGGAGAGCCTTTTAGAGAATCTGTCTAATAGATCCCGCCGGTATAACATTAGGGTCAGAGGTTTACCCGAGGCCTTGGGTGAGGGGAGCTTGGCCAATTTGCTGCTCTGAGTTTTCCTCCCTCTGCTCCCGGAAATAGCAGAAGCGAGATGGGAGATCGAACGCGTGCACTGGGCGCTGAGTGTGAGAGAGGCCCAGGGCAGTGCTCCCCGCGATGTGATTGCTAGAGTTTACCCTTGCTCCACAGCGGAGGCGATCATCCGAAGATGCCGAGGGTCGGAAGCTCTATATGCCAGGACGCAGCTCCAGGTTTTTCAAGATTTGGCTACTTCTACGCTACAGAAACAGCGATTATGGAAATCTGTTGCAAACCCCCTCCAGCAGAAAAGGATCCAATTCATGTGGGTGCACCCGTTTAAGCTGCTGTCGTTCCAGGGAGGTAGAGCGGTTGTTCTGCAGCCTCAGGGGAGTTTACCTGAGTTTTGGAAGGCCCTTAATACCTCAGATCCTGATCTGCCTGACATGCCGATGTCTCCGTTTCAGCCCTTGCCGAGACTTCAGAGGATCTGGATGGCCGGAAGAGACGGCGGTGATGCAGTGGCTGAACCGCCGTGAGCTCTGAAGGTGATTGCCGGCTAGCAGTGAGAGTATTCAGGTACTTTGGGGGTACTTGGGTGGGGGTACGCAAGGGCACTACTCAGGGGGGCCTTGGTCCTGGTTTGGGCGGTGTCACGATTCGGGGAACCCAACACGCTGGCACACACACACACAAAAGGTGCCGTACCGGACCTTAGAGTGGCCGGGCTAAGCACACACAGAATAGTTAGAAAACAAGCCGAGTAAGGGGAACCAGAAGACAGAATAACGTGAAACGAGCCGAGGTCAAAGGGTAGGAGAAAGTCACAGAGTCAGATAAACAAGCCAGAGAGTACGTAACCAGAAACACAAGGTAAGTAGCAATACTAGCAAGCAAAGACCACAACAGGGCAGGGAGGAAAAGGAAAGGTAAGTATTTAAACCATCAGGTTAATTCTGATTGGATAATTTCCAATCAGACTTAACAATCACACGTGGGAGATATTTAGACCTCCCACTGTGATTGAGGCACTGTGCCTTTAACGCCGGGTCAGGTGACTGACCCCGGCGTGTATAAACCTGGGCGGTCTCCCAGCGTGCAGCGTCATGCATGCTGCCGCTGGGGGACGTGGAGGGAACGGCGGGCGGCATCCGAGGCTGGAAGGATGCCGCCCGCCGTACCCACGAGGCGGAGGGGACCGCGGACGGCTGGAGGGGGAGTACTGCGAGCGGAGTGCAGCCTCCCCTCGCAGCCGCCCGCGGGAGCCTGACATTACCCCCCCCTCGAAGACCGCCCAGGGGGCGGGAAGCGGAAGGCTTCAAAGGAAAGCGGGCATGAAAGGAGCGGACCAAAGAGGGAGCGTGCATATCGGAGCTTGAAACCCAGGACCGCTCCTCAGGGCCGTACCCCTTCCAGTCCACCAAATATTGCAGCCGACCCCTAGAAACACGAGAGTCGAGAAGGGCAGCCACCTCGTACACGTCGTCAGAGACAGCTCGAGGGGAAACGGGCCGCCCGAGGGGACGAGAGAATCGGTTACACAGCAAGGGCTTCAAAAGCGAGACGTGAAACGTGTTCGGGACACGCATGGAAGGAGGCAGATCAAGGGAGTAGGAAACGGGGTTAACCCTACGTAACACCTTGAAGGGACCAAGAAACCTGGGGCAAATTTCATCGAGGGAACCTTGAGACGGAGGTTCCGGGAGGACAACCATACCCTATCACCCGGAAGATAAGAAGGGGCCGCAACCCTACGGCGATCAGCAAACTTTTTCTGAGCAGCTGCTGAACGAGACAGCGCAACATGGACCTGATCCCACGTCTTCCGCAAAGAGGCGAGGTGCTGGTCCAAGGCGGGCATTCCCTTGTCGGAGAACGCACCGGGAAGGACAGAAGGACGAAACCCATAAGCAACCTCAAAAGGACTTAAGCCAGTAGACGAATGAGACACCGTATTCCTGGCAAATTCAGCCCACGGAAGAAGGCGAGACCAGTCATCCTGGTGCGCATTAGTGAAGCAGCGCAAATACAATTCCACAGACTGATTAGCACGTTCGGCCACACCATTAGATTGCGGGTGATAGGAGGAAGAGAACGACAAGGAGACCCCATCTCAGCACAAAAGCCCCTCCAGAACCGAGAGACAAATTGAGGGCCCCTGTCAGATACGATATCCTGAGGTACCCCATGCAATCGGAACACTTCTTTGGCAAACACCTGAGCTAACTGAACCGCAGAAGGCAGTTTCTTAAGCGGAATAAAGTGCGCCATTTTAGAGAACCTATCCGTCACAGTCAGTATCACCGTCTGACCATCAGAAAGAGGCAGGTCTACAATGAAATCCATGGATAAGTGGGTCCATGGTTTCTTGGGTATAGATAGAGGCATCAGAAAACCCTGGGGTCTCACATTAAGGGACTTACACTGCGTGCAGACCCGACAAGCCTGAACAAAATCCACTACGTCTCGCTTGAGTGAAGGCCACCAGAACTGTTGAAGGAGGCCCTTGTAGGTTTTGGTAACCCCTGGATGACCAGCAGTTTTGGCTGTGTGAAATAAAGTTAACAACTTTTTTCTGTCATTTGCTTCAACGTATAGTTTACCAACCGGCGTCTCAGGGGGTGCCTGGGTTTGGTATGTCTTAATACTATCAAGGAAAGGTGAAGAAACAACCAAACGGGTAGCAGCTATTATCTGAGACGCAGGTACAATAGGTTCAGGAGTCGGGTTAACAAATTCTACTGGTTCATGCTGTCGAGAGATAGCGTCAGCTTTGGCATTACGGCAACCAGGTCTATAGGTAATAACATATTGGAAGCGTGAGAGAAATAGAGACCATCTAGCCTGCCGGGCAGATAACCTTCTAGCATCAGCTATATAGGATAGGTTCTTATGATCTGTTATAACCATAATTTTGTGTCTAGAACCCTCTAATAAGTACCTCCATTCCTTAAAAGCTAACACAATAGCTAATAGTTCCCTGTTCCCAACATCGTAATTCTTCTCTGAATCAGACAACCTTTTAGAAAAATAACAACAGGGATGGAGGGGTTTGTCATAAGACAACCTCTGTGACAGTACGGCTCCCACACCTGACTCTGAAGCGTCTACTTCCATAACAAAGGGAAGAGAAGGATCAGGGTGGTGCAGCACTGGAGCAGAGGCAAATGCCTTCTTGAGGGTTTTGAAGGCCTTAGGGGCTTCAGGGGTCCAAACCCTAGGGTGTAGACCTTTTTTTGTCAGCTTCGTTATAGGAGAGATAAGTGGTGAAAAGTTTTTTATAAATTTCCTATAATAGTTGGCAAATCCTATAAAACGCTGGATACCCTTTAGTCCTTGGGGAAGTGGCCAGGACAGTATAGCTTCCAATTTAGCAGGATCCATACTGAAACCCTGTTCAGTAATGATATATCCTAGGAATTGCACAGAGGTCTGATCGAATAAACATTTTTCTAACTTACAGTAGAGTCCGTTCTGCAATAGCCTTTTGAGCACCATCCTAACATGGTTATGGTGTGACTTCAAATCAGGAGAATACACAAGTATGTCGTCAAGGTACACCACAGCACAGACATGCAATAGATCCCTAAGGACATCATTTATGAGGTCCTGAAACACGGCAGGAGCATTACACAGTCCAAAAGGCATGACCAGATATTCGTAATGCCCACTGCGTGTGTTGAACGCTGTCTTCCACTCGTCATTCTCCTTTATACGGACAAGGTTATAAGCCCCCCTGAGGTCTAATTTGGTGAAGAATTTACAACCTTTAACACGATCAAACAACTCAGTGATGAGGGGGATAGGGTAGGCGTTTTTAACCGTTATATTGTTTAGACCCCTGTAGTCTATACATGGCCTCAAATCGCCCTCCTTCTTTGCCACAAAAAAGAAACCAGCACCAGCAGGAGAGGAGGACCTTCTAATAAAACCTTTTCTTAGGGATTCCCGTATGTACTCCTCCATGACCTGGTTCTCTTTTTCAGAAAGAGGGTAGACCTTTCCCCTAGGAGGCATAGTACCCGGTAAGAGGTTTATGGCACAATCATACTCACGATGTGGAGGTAGCTTATCTGCCTCCCTCTTTTCAAAAACCAAGGCAAGGCCTGCATAAACAGAAGGGACAGAAACCGAGAGTGGTTTAGCCGTGGGCACGTTAAGTAAACAAACAGGACGTACATGAGCCATACAGTCTCGTTGACAAGATTCCCCCCAGGAGAGTATATCTAAACAACCCCAATCAAGAACAGGGTTGTGTTTAACTAACCAGGGAAAACCCAGAACGATAGAGGCTGTAGGGGAGTCAATTATTTGGAAGGTTAACTTCTCCTTGTGCAAAACACCCACAGACATAACTATTTCCTGGGTTTAATGAGTCACCAGAGGTTTCTCCAGTGGTCTACCATCTATGGCCTCAACGGCCAAGGGTGTCTCCTTTCGGATCAAATTCAGGGCTGCGGTTTTGGCAAAGGTCTCATCCATAAGGTTGTCTGCCGCACCCGAATCGATCAGGGCTTTAGTTGTTATAGTGGTTTTATTGACCAAAAGAGAAACCGTAATAAACGGTCTGGAGATGGACATATGAGGGGACAAACACCCGAGGCCGACCCCTCTCTAGGCCTTAGGTGCTGCAGTTTCCCTGTACTTTAGGGCAGGCTTTACAGTGATGCCCCCTCTTCCCACAATAAAGGCATAAGCCCTCCCTTCTACGGTACGCTCTTTCGGCCTCAGTTAACCCCGTAGCACCCAACTGCATGGGTTATGGGGATGGTTGCCTAGGAGCGGGTAACGCTAGCAGTGAAGTACTGGGTAGAGCAGGTAACACCCGTGTATCCAAACGTCTTTGTCTACGCCTCTCTCTAATACGGTTATCGATAAGAATCATATAGTCTATAACAT